GTGTAGATCAGATTTAGTGTTACTAGAGCAGCGACATGATCCAAAATATCTGATATGTCATGTTTGGATGTGAAACTAGTATTTTATTTGGCTGAATACTTAGTACATTGACACCAGAAAACAGTCATTTTATTTTTTACAATTTCAGGAGTGTAAACATAAAAGTACAATTGATAACCCCTGTTTTCTCCTATTACATACATAATGTACCCTTTTCTTTAATGATATTTACAGAGAAATCCTGAATTATCACACATGTTAAATAACCCAGAGTTGTTGCGTCAAACCATGGAGCTTGCCCGTAATCCATCCATGATGCAAGAGATGATGAGGAGCCAAGATAGAGCCTTAAGTAATTTGGAAGTAAGTGCTTAACAGAAACTACTGCTTAGCTGAGTTGGCAGAGTAATTAAATAGTAACAGAGCTCTTGGCTTGAACCCAGATAAACCCTGATAAGGATTATATTTTCTCAAAGTATTATTTAAATTTGTCTACATGGTCAGTGCATTTTTATCATCATGGTAAATTTATATGATTGAAATTATAATTGTAATTGTATTGTAACAAATATAAAAAACACTTTCCTATTAATACTTTCTAATCTTTGATATTTATTGTCTTTTTTATATTAATATAATAATACTTGAATAATGGTTGATTTCAGAGCATCCCAGGAGGTTACAATGCTTTACGGAGAATGTATACAGACATCCAAGAGCCTATGATGAACGCAGCTCAGGAACAGCTTGGTGGAAACCCGTTTGCAGCTCTTAGTGGAAATTGTAAGTGTCATCAATTTAACACTACCATCTCAAGATGTGTTTCAGTTGCTTGCATTATCCATTTTTTGAGTTTACAATTATCCCATCAATACCTGTGTTAAATATCCATCCAGATTAATGTCTTGTGATTGGCTGATTTTGAAATGAAATTGTTTCTGCAAATGTGGCAGTCAATGTCGGGGCATATCAAGTGATATGACCCTTGTCAAATTGTGAAACATTACAATGAGTATTGACTTAGATCTTAACTAATGAGAATTATTTTTAGATCCTAACTGAATAGATGTCATCAATAGAAATTGGTGAATGTATAACATTAGTTCATCCTTCTTTACCTTCTCAACTAACAGCCATCTTGATTCACAGAATAAAAAAAATATCTGATACTGTTAATGAAGTTTCCTGGAAATTGGGTAGTACTTGTATTTATGTGTAAATTTGGCAAGCACAGGGTAGTAGTATAAACTACCGGACCCCTTACACGGTGGAATTGGCCAATGAAATGTTGTTACCTAATTAATATTTATGAGGTATATTAATGCAATATACACCCTGTCAAATAGAATATCTTGTAAGAGTGTGGTTTACTAATTTTTACTTGTGCTATCAGTTGTAAAAACAAAAGCTTCTTTATAAATCAAAATATTTTTTTTTTTAATAGATTAATACCCCAAAATTTTAACAGTTGTATTTTTTCTTTCCTTTAGCTTCTGGTAGTAGTTCTTCGCAGCAGGGTCGAGAAAACACAGATCCTCTACCAAATCCATGGGGTGGTGGCAGGACAACACCAGCAACGCCTGCTACAGCTACCACAACATCCACTGCGTCATCAACATCATCAACAACATCTACAACACCACCACCACTACCAAACCTAAGTGGAGTTCAACCTGGACCAGGTGATGGATCCTTCTTTACAGTTTGCTTAGAAATGAACAGAATAGTTGTTGTTTATGAATTATCATAGTTTATATGTGTCTTGTGTGTTCATTCCATTCACTATTTCGAATAAATTAACATAATATATCAGTATTCTTTTGATATTTCATTTTGAGTCAGTTCGTTCATGTTACTCATCCCTGACCTTTTAAAACATTTTATTTACTAATCCTAATTATGAAAATCACTTTTCTCTTAATTATGTAAATCACCACCTGTTAACACCTGTATTCCACCTGTCTACAGGCATCTTCAACAGTCCAGGAATGCAGAGCATGATGCAACAGATGCAAGCTAATCCGCAGCTGATGCAGAACATGATGCAGGCACCATACATGAGAAGCATGATGCAGAGCTTGAGTACGAACCCCGACCTTGCTTCACAGGTCAGTAGGCCGTAGTTATGGTTCTTATGGTAAAGCCTAACCAGCACCTAATGGTTTTCAGGTTCATGGAAAACCAGTACCCAATTTTTAAAGTTTTCATTTTCATGGACAACTAGTGCCCAATGTTTATCAGTTTTCATTGTGGAAGAACTGTATTAATGTTTGTACCTTTGAAAGAGTATAAATATTATTTTTTATTTTGTAGGTTTTGGCATCTAATCCAATGTTTGCAGGAAATCCACAGCTTCAGCAACAGATGCAGCAGATGATGCCTCAATTCCTACAGCAAGTAAGTCTGTTTATATGGACTGTCGTTATGTATATCTTCACACCTCCTCCCCCCCCCCAGTATTTAAATCTGATCATCAGGCCATTGAAATGTTTTTTACTGCTAACTGAAATTACCAACATTAAAAGAAAAAAAAAAAGAAGTTAGCTGTATGTTCCATGTACTAATTTATTTAACATTTTATAGATGCAAAACCCTGAGATGCAGTCAGCGATGACAAATCCAAGAGCCATGCAAGCAATCATGCAAATTCAGCAAGGATTACAGCAGCTACAACAAGAGGCTCCAGGTCTTATGCCTGGGTAAGTATATTACCAAAAAATCCATATACCTCGTGTACAAGTCTCAAATTGTCCACATTCATCACTTAGGCTATTGAAGCTGTCTTTAGCCAAAATTTGACAAAAATTGTTAAAAATCATTAGCCAAAACTTGCTGACTGGACATGGGGTCCAACATTTTCGACAGTGGAGTCTGAACCAAGTGGACGGGTTGGATCCAGAGATGTACAAGGCGGGGAGGGGGGCGCAGGAGAGATCGAGACAACACTGCTCTAAGGGGTCTACAGTATTTTTGAAACGCTGAAAAATAAACCTCTTGAGGCGTTTTTGGGAAAATCAATCATTTCTTTATTTACTTTTCAAAAAAAGGGGGTGGGGCCCTTCCCTTAAATCTACCCCTGCCTCGGTGAGGGTACCAGAAAAAATCTCTGGTAGGTTTGGGGTAGGGGGGCTGGTAAGAGGAAAAAATAACGTTATTTGATAGGCAAATTAATAATTAATTAATTTGCTGAATATAGCCCTATCACCAAAGTTGAAAAAATTACATAGACCTAGGCCTATACAGTATTTTTTTTTTAGTTGTGAACAATATTGGGGGTGGGGAGCTAGCAGTGGTTTACTAGACTAGAGTATATTCAAAATTGGCTTGGGGCCCAATCATCCACACCAGTTGGGCCTCATCGCCTGTCACCCGAAGTTTTTACCGCGATAATCAAGAACGTACATGGTCTAGGCTGGCCTTGCTTGCGAGATTACTCTCTCTACAACACAAGTACGTACACTGTGTAACTAACCGACCCATGCAGCACATTCTTAAATCATTACACAAATTAAAATGTATTTTCCGTATTCGACGATAACACAAAATCACTGATTAAATTATTATTAATGATACTAGGCTATCTCTTTCGACCATTATCACATCATGTTTTAGCGGAAAAACCCCCCAAGCTAGTGCTGCCTTTAGTCTACGTCATACAGCCGCTGCCTTGCATCTACCGCGTTAAAATAACAATTGCAAATAAAAAATAACTTGTGAGGCACGCAATGACGTTTGCAGCAAGACTACTCATACAACAACACAAATAAGCGTCGCATGGAGTTAGCGAAAAATGGAGCTCAAATGAAAAAAATGATGTATTTTAGCAGGTATTTAAAACTTTTTTTATTTTAGGCTTTCGCTGAAATGGCTAAAGCAGTTGATTTTTTTTTCGCCAATCCAAAATAGTTTTCGCCCATGGCGATTTGGCGAGCGATTAGCGTGAGCCCAGCCCGTGTGTTCATACAAGTTAAATCCCGATGCAGGTACCAGGAACTGAGGGTTCGTAAAGACGAGGTTCTACTGTACTCGCTTTTTTTCATAGTGCACAAGAGCCATTGTATACACTGGGCCTACGGTTTATAGTCTTTATCCAAGAAGCCTTGTTCTACCATCAGAACCATAGACGAACGTGCCGTTCGAACCGGTGCCAATATTATGGCTGTAGGTTGCGACGCCCCTGCTAACCGCTCGGCCACCTCGACTCACTTTAGATGATCAATCTATAATAAAAGTATACATAAAAATCAAAACTATCATTGACATCTAATCTGAATCCTGGTCTATTAAGCCAGTGCATTAACTTTCAGCATTTTTTTTTTGTCTAGCGTTACCGGACTACCAACAGCAACTGTAACAACTGCAGCTCCTACTGCCACCACCACCACTACTAACACAGCACCATCATCAGCCACCACCACCACCGGTACAGGATCTGGGGCGCCACCTCGCATGGGCAATGCAGACCAATGGACCCAAATGATGTCAACGATGATGCAGTCTTTATCTACAAGTGCAAACACCGGTCAGGTGAGAATTATCTATATCAGCAATTGTTGGTGACCCGCTCAATGGATATCAGTGTTGTATTGAAATGAAGCTTTCTTCTGTCTTTGCTGTCACTTTGTATCCCAGATAAATGTGAAATACAAAATGTTACAACTTTCTTTTCGTCAATTTTATAGCCTGTTGTGAATATGTTCATAGTCTATAATATAATAAGCTTTCAAAATACATTTATAACTCACAGGCCAGTATGGACAGTGAGGTATTGTGATCATGTGGGAAAAAATGCGTCAACAGTTGTAAAATTCGCTTATTCATTAGTTTTTAGTGTGATGTAGTTAAAAATTTTGTGGACCTCAGTAGAGGTTCTTTTTTGAATTCACAAGATCACTACTTCTCTCACAGTTTTAACTCAATGTATCCCAGGTTGATTATAGTGAATGCTTTAATACTGGCCAGTAAAAGTTGTTCAGGGATTTTCATAATTATTGTGGGAAACATCATTTTGGGATATTTATATGTTAATAATTTCAATATTGTTTAGCTTTGAAGTTGCTCAGAAATTTTAAAAAGTTTAAATCAAATTTTATAGGTAATTGTCCGTTTTGAACTCATTTGTTTTTTTTTTATCCTCTTTTTTGTGGTTTTAAAACTTGCAAATCAAATCCTTTCTAAGCTGGTGAAAAAAGTGGACGTTACCAATCAAATATATGTGTTTAGCACAGTTAACCCAAAAACCCCGCTTTTAAGATGGACAAATTATTATTCTTCATTGGGTTATTTTTTTTGTACACAGGCATCTCCAACGGAAAGTTTGTTTTGGGTTGGTTCAATTTCGCTTTAATGTCTGCCTTATAAACTAGATAAAGCTAATGTTTATTAGGCCTCATTTTTAGAGTAACATCTCTCAATTACGTACCCCTCTGTCCAAACATATTTCGTAAACCAGAAAGTTAATAATCCAGAGCTTGATTTTTCATAGCATCTCAGTGGTGAGGGTAGACCTACGCTAAATACAGTAGTACAGGGCTAGATAGGCCTAACCCCTCCATGAGAGCAATTTTTGTCAAAAATATGACTTGGATTTTACTGTTTTCTGGAACAAAATAATATTTTATAGAAGCCAAAATTATCTGTACTCACTGTGAAGTATTCATTTTAAGTAATTTCAGAATGAAAACTTTACAATAGCAAAAACGAGTGTTATTGTTCTCTTCATAAACCATTCATCGAGAACCATTCGAACAGTGCCCCCAATGAACAAAAAGTGAGATTTTCTATTCCTATTGTACAGTAGCTGCCTGAACAAGCTTACTCAGCTCAAAATTGAGTATCTCGGCTGAAAACTATCGATATTTCTTGCTTTATACAAAGTTTTATGCCAATTTATTTGTTTAATTGTTTTCTTTTTTAGCTGATGTAACATTATATATTATTTTTGATGACTTTCAAATACAATTATAAGGTTTGGGCTATTAGCCCTCAAGTTTTGATATGAATTAAACATACTGAGTAATATACCTGCTCCTGCCTTTCAAATAATAAAATTTTATTGTTTTTATATCAGGCTCCTGAAGATCAATTCCGAACTCAACTGGAGCAGCTAGCGACCATGGGTTTTGTTGATAGGGAAGCTAACATAAGAGCGTTAACAGCAACTGGTGGTGATGTAAATGCAGCTATTGATAGGCTGATAGGGGGCGCCAGCTAACCATCCATCGTGTTAAATTTGTCTAGTCTTGATGTATAAATGGATATAGAATATGTATGTTACAAGGTGTATTTGCTTCTAGACTATTGTATCAACAAAATTGTTTTAATTTTTTGCCTCAAATAATAATATTAGACAAATAAAATAAAAATCATTGTAAAATATAGTATAGAATGTGAACGGGCTGCAGATGACGTGAATGGTAATGTTCACTAATGGTGGTAGCGATTGGCGTCTACCTGCCAAATCCATTCTAAGGATTTCATGATCATCAAATGTTATTCTTTAATTTTGATTTTAATAATATTTTATAATAATTCAGAATTATTGTCATTAGTAAGGTTTGAGCCTTGCAATATAGTACAAATGCTAAGTTCACACAGACAAGTTAATTAGTGCTATGTGTAGGGTAGCACAGGTCTTGACACATAACATTAAAGGGCGCTGTAAATGATTGCAGACCCCAGTCAAGGTGCTTTGGCAGCCATGTTTTTTAATTTTTCCCAGATTTCCTTTCATGGTCATGTGATCGTCAGACTATGGCATTTACTTTTAGCACAAAGACTTATAACAACTGTAATATGTTTATGATAATATTTGGAAAAAAAATATTGTTTAATTTAAGCACTTGACTTTCTTAATGGTTACACATTTGATATTTATTTGTGTAGCATGAAATTAGCTTCTAAGACATAAAAAAAGTTACTGTAATATGTTATTTGTTAGCTGCAATTTTATTCTTAAAGTGGTTAACAAATTGTTAGAGTTGAAGGATGTCTCTGGTCTTTTAGTTATCCTCCTCCTTTGACATGTGTTTAACATCTAATAACAATTGATAGTTATAGAATTATCAACTTAGACTACAGTAGCATCTATATTCAAATGGAAGATTGCTTCTGTAATTACTTGTCCTTATTTCACAATGGCTTGGTTGCTGCCTGCCTTGCATACAATATATACAGAAATTATTTATCGCAGTAAAATAAGATTTAGAGGTCCGAAATGTAAACTGAATGTTTAAAACATATATTTTTAGTTGCATATCATCATTCAGTTTTATTTTGTGACCACACTTTGGTATAATGAACTTTGCTTTATATATATATATATATACATATATATACACATATATATACATATATATACACATACATATATATATACACATACTGTACATATATATCGTCACTGTTTTCACAAAGAGACACAAACTTCAATTTCGATGAAAACAACGTTTTGAGAAAAACGTGTTTGAAGTGGACTACTTCACAAATCCGTAAATTTCACTATCAAGATAACGGAATTTTTAGTATTTTTTTACATATGTTTAAAGATAAAGCATTAAGCAATCCAAATGCGTAATTTATTTTTCTTTTCTTAACTTTAATCAACCTGTTAATTAGCGTGAAAAGTATATATAAATCAAGATAGCCATTAACACTGTAATTATATATAAATTAACAAAGAAAGGTAAATACAGTGTTCGAATAAAGGACATGATAATATATAATATAATTTAACAGTGTTAACGGATATCTTTATATATAATATATATATATATATAGCTGGATTTAATATTTAAGGTAATATATTTCAAATCATTTATAAGTTTAGCAGATCATAAAATGACATTGCTGCTAAGGAATCAAGTGATATTTTAATGTCAAGAGATATTAAAATTGTTTTCATAATTATAATTTCAATTATCATTCATTGTGTAGTTGGCAAATTAAGTATACAAAGTGTATATTTGAATCATGGCCATGGATATTGTTCCCATGATTTTACATAAATCTGAGGTTTTGATTGGTGGAGCTGTCTTGACCCTTAACCTAAACTTCAGTTTCGCTATCTTAATGCACTACAGTATGTCAGAAGAATAACTATTGCGTATTTTAATGGCTATACAGTAACTCTATTAGGTGTACAGTATCCTCACGGTTAGGTTTGGAGTGCGCCCTCATGAATCTTCACAAGGCATAGGCGTTGAAAGTGGTTAAGTATACTCTGCCTATAGTATAATATACATTAATCTTAAATGGCATTTTTTCTGGAAATATAACCATGTGAATATATAGAATCTGTTATGATTAAAAAAACATATGCTACTGTTGTTTATATGCCATTTATATAACCTTTTTTTAATATTCTGATAACTAGGTACCACTCATTTAATAACTATTTCATCTGTTCAGAAATGTAACTTGATATCAAGAGTTGTGCTAGCATTTTTAATGATAAAGTTGATCTTTTGTGCATAAGCTTTATGATAAAATATGTACATTTTGAAAAGATACATATGAAGGAATTTTGCATTTCTTTATTTTAGTCCGTATTCTCCTGGTTTAGGAGGTTCAGCTGGCATTTGTTTCATTTTTTGTCATTGTTTGACCTTGTTTGACAATGAAAATTTATCAATTGTGACCTAAATATAAACATTTATCAAACATGGAGCAATGGAAAATATTAATTTGTTTATCTTTGTGCAACTTGATGTTTTTTGATTTAATGTTCAGTTTGATTTTGCCGCCCCGTGTATGAATCACACCGAATCAGCCTCATGCAATTTGTTTTCGTAGGATACTTAAGAATTATCCATAACCATCTTACAGAACATATTTTGCGCATGCGCTGTTTACAAGTCTGTATAGGCCTAATACTGGTCGGTAGTAGTACTGTAGTAGGAATTTTGGTCTCAAATGTTCAGAACATAGGCCCTGCATGTTTCTATTTGCTCTAATGTAGTATTTTGCCCAAAAGTGACCAGAACTGGCATTTCTGACCTTTGACCCTAGATATCCAGCATATCCATATCTCAAAAACGGTTAGTTATAGAGACCTATTTTTGGCCTCAAATTGTTCAGAATATGCATGTTCTTATTTGCACTAAATGCAATATGTTGCCCTAAAGTGAACGGAATAGAAGTTTGACTGATATCATACCTCATAACTGTTGGTCGTAAAGACACCTAAGTTTGGGCTCAAATTGTTTGCAAAACATACATAGGCCTATATCTATTTGCACTATGCAACATGTCTAAAAGTGACTGGAAATGACATTTCTTACCTTTGACCATAAGGACCAGGGAACAGTAAAATTTCACTGTTCCCTGATAAGGACCATATAGCATATACATACCTCTATAGCCATTGTTGGTCATGGCGACCTTATTTTGGCCTCAAATCAGAATGTGAATGTTGCTATTTGAACAAATTCAAACAAAATCGGAAATGACATTTCTGACCTTTGATCCTACAGTAGGTACCCTGTAGCATATGCATACAGTAAAAAATTTTGATCTCAAATTTGTTCTGAACATACATGTTCTCTTTGCTCTAATGCAATATTAAGAGAGCTTTCCATTTGTGCGACGCTAGAACAGAATCACTCATGCGTGACCGTCCTACCTGGGGTCCTCTACGTTCTCTGCATACGTAGATTTGGCCAAATTGCGTTCCAGAATCTACTCGTCGAGGCGACCTTAACGTTCTCGCATGCGCAGATGAGTGTAAATTACGTTCTACGTCCTACCGTTGTCGTGCAATCGAAAGCTCCCTTGTCCAAATGTGACTGGAAATGACATTTCTGAACTTTGATAACCAGCATACTGTATCAATCGGAACATACTTTAAATGTTTCTATGTATTTGTCTATAGTGAACAGAAGTGATATTTTTGACCTTTGACGTTAGGTACTGTACCTTGAAATATCCAGATCTTCCCAAATTTAGAGACTTATGGTTTGAAATGCCAGAATAAGCATCTATACCTTCACTGAAATTTCTGTCAATAAAATACCGAAAGAGCATAGATTAGAGCATATATAGGCCTATATCTGATATATAGAGATGTGAATTATGTTGGTTATCTAGGATCAAATGTCAAAAACGTCATTTTCGATCACATTTGGATAAAAAGCAAATACTGTATACACATGCAGTATTTCCCAAACAAACCAAAATTAGGTGTTATGAACAACGGTTATGGAGATATGCATATATGGTACATTGAAAGTGCCATTTCTGGTCACTTTCAGACAATTTATTTATTTATGTTCAGAACATACGCCTTTGGAACAGCGGCACACACAAGAGTGGTGCGTTCAGCTTAAATTACAAAAATATAAAAATTAACTTAAGAATTAAGGAGCACACTTCAACACAATCATTGATAAAATATGCAAATACACACGGAAAATACTGTACATAAAAAATAAGACAACAAATTAAAAATGTATACCATTGAAAATTAAGGTATGGAGTAACTTTTATACAGGCATAGGCCTACTCCTAAACAAATACTGTCTGTTATGTATAATTGTATGGGGTCGCTCCCAAATATCAGCACTTTCAGAAGTGCACAAACATTATGCTTGGGGGGGGGGGGGAAGACCAATTTATACGCTTTTACATATGCGTGAAGTTCTATGAACAAATTATAGTGCAATTATGGATGTAATGTAGGCCTACATTAGCTTGTGTACAGGTGATCAAATATAAAAAGACCACCTCCAATTATTGTAGACCACTTTTCTACGGTCCTGGTTGAACTCATATTTTTTAACATAGCTGTTTCCTCCAAAGACTCCCTGTATTTAGAGACCAAAGACCATATTCCATATTGAATAGCAATTGGACGTTGATGATTGTATTTTAGTAATGGAAATTTTGGGTAGAACGAGCGCAGGACTTGACGTGTGGCTATACCAAGAAATGGTTTATTAAGAATTAGTAACAGCATACAGTAATCCATTATAAAACACTTGGAATAAAACATTCAATCATGGTTTTGGCAGACCCAACTGGAAATTTCGCCTTGCAATATGTAGTGAATTTAATGGAGTTAAAAAAAATAAATGATGATGATATGACCAGTGAACAGTGAAATTACAATTTCACTGTTCCCTGACATGACTGTATATAGTACATCAAAATAGTACACAGTATAAGATTATGTTTTGTGTATACTGTTGTATTTTATGGTTCTTTATTACATTATAGACAATGATTATAACTCGTATACTAAAGAGAAGAATTAATGTAAAATATCATTAACTGTTCACCCCGGGTTCCTGTAAGAGGGAGTAGGTTGAGTCTACAGATGGAATTTAGCCTTTTTTAATTCAAAACCTAATCAATTAAATTATGGTCTGTCAAAAAGTGGTCATGTTTCAACCAACCGGGTGTACGGTCCTGAATTATTTATAATAGGCCTTGTACTTAATTATTTATTTATTGCCAATTAGGGCGGCTGATTCTAGTATGGGTGAGGATGCAGCCTGCCGAGGCCCCATACATTTTTTACAAGAACATTCGTTTGTCAAGCGTCGTATAGTGCTGGGTAGTTGTAGGAGGGGGGCCCGTGTCTTCTTTGGGCTCATTTGAACTTGGAACTGTTCCCCAGAAAGCATACAGCTCCATATAGTAAAATGCTGGGTCGTAGTAGGAGGGGCCCCTACTGCCAAAAAGTATGTTTGTGGGATTTTGATCTATTTAGTTTTTTTTTTTAATTATTGAAAAAGTTTACCGTATCGTCAAGGCGTTGTAACAGAGTGTTGGGTAGTAAAAAGAGGGGCATTGTAAATACACAATAAATGGAATATTCGTAACCAGGCCTATACTATATGTAATGACACTATAAATCAGCACGCTCTAAACATATCGTGGGAATATTTCCTGGTTCTTACGACTTTGCTGAGTAAGGTATTGTAAAATGTATTATCTCATGTTTTTTACTAAATGTTGTAAGTATATCATACTGTGAAGTTGTTTCCTTCCTTTTTCAACCTGTATCCTTAAATTATTTTTTTTAAAATGCACTTACTATATTTGGGTGTCTGCCCTATTTTAAAGGTGTTCTCTTTTATTTTAATACTATTCTAAATTCATCTGTTAAAAAAACAGGATGAATAAGGTTCACCCTTTTGTAAAAAGACCAAAGTTGGTAATAAAGTTTTTGCTGCGATTAGTTCTGATTTTAGGTAAACTGGCTTTTTTTTTTTTTTTTTTAAAGAAAATGTATTTCCAGTCTAGTTTTAAGATGTTGAAATAAATGATTAAAAAACGAATATATTTTTATGCATTAAAAATTAACGTTGGCCTATTTTTTCATACGCTACAATAAGTAGATGTTGATGCGTACATGCAGAACAATGCGTATAAATACAGAACAAAATTACACGCGTTATCTACACGCGCAAATTTTTCAAACAAATGGAAAAGAACGTTCATCATCATCATTCAGAACAAACAACAGAAACACATACAACGATGCACTCATGATTATGTTCATCCGATCATATTGTACATTTACACGTACTCCCAGGTAAGACATTTGTTTTAGTTTGTTTTCTAAACGTTAATTATTCTTTATTTCATATAAAGAGATTTTGGAAATCACTTAAGGTCCGATTCGATTTCGAATTATGAAAAGTGTAGGCTGTGGCACCGAGACCTCTGACGATTAGTGCCCAAAAT